TGTTACAATCATAATGGGTGTGTATATGGTTACTTCCTCTAATGTAATTTTAGAAATACATCTGTAATTTTTATAAATCATTTTATCAAGTTAACAGCCACACAGAATTTTACCTATTGCATCTTAGTTTTACTTAACTATTGTCTTGTGTATGTATGACTAGATTAGATGGCATGAGCATTTTTTATGAGCCGTTATTTTATTTTTTACATAACATGGGAAAATATAAGACTGAACATTTAGGAAAGGAAAATTAATGTTTTAAGAATCATGCCAGCAGGCAAATTCTTTGCCAACTGCTCAGCATCAGAACGTTTAAGGAATAAGAAAATTCATCACTTTCATAGGTGTGGTGTCTGGTGGAAATTAAAGCGCGCTGTACCCCTAATGCTTTGGTTGGCATTAAATACCACTGCTGTACAGGGAGAAATACTGCTGATTCTACCTGTTGGGGCATTTTAAACTAATATAGTTAGGGCCTTCCTATTCAAAACAAGAAATTCAGTTAACTAAGGCACCTTTGAAAAATTATAAGGCTTTGTGTTGTGTGTACGTGTGTGTGTGCGCGTGCGCGCGCACTTCCCCCTTTATCTTATTTTCCTAAGTAACTGATTCCTAATTTTTAGCAAGGTACAATACTTGCCCCATTCACTCCCCACAACTAAAATGCCAGACATGGTAGCTCACACTTGTAATCTTAGCACTTTTGGGAGGCTGAGGTGAAAGGATCACCTGACCCCAGGAGTTTGGGACTAGCATGGCCAACACAGCAAGACCCCAACTTTAAAAAAAAAAAATGTTTTTGAAAAAATTAGCTGGGTGTGGTGATAGACGCCTGTAGTCCCAGCTACTCAGGAAGCTGAGGTGAGAGGATCACTTAAGTCCAGCAGTTTGAAGCTGCAGTGAGCCATGATTCCACCACTGCATTCTGCCCTGGGCGACAGCGCAGGTTCCTATCTCAAAAAAGAAAAAAAGAAAAAAGACAACATCTTCCAGTCTCCCTAGCAGCTAAGGTGACTACGTGATTAGGTTCTGGTTAGTAAAACATAAGCAGAAGTTATGTATGCCTTTTAGAAAAATGTTTTGAAAGGAAGAGGACATCCTTTGTCCTCCATCCAGCTGCATGGAACTGAGAGAAGAGTCGCCAGTCCCTCACAATCATACTCTAGCTCTTCTTTCTCCCAAGAAGAGATCACAGCAACTACTGTCCCTACAACTTCCTGGACATTCAGAACAGAGCTCACAGAGGCATCTCTAAGGTCTCCCTCCCTACATAACACTAGCAAAAAGAATCTCTCCCTGCTTCCCTGGTCTAGTCTGGAAAAAAAAAATGACCCAAACAGTCCCTATAGAACCAGTGGCACCCCAGATGATCTGAAGTCTCTACCCCTGAATGTGAAACAGAAACCATCTCCCTACCTGTCCTACTCTGAGAGGTGTTGTGTCCAGAAGAGACTGTGGATATGAACCCATTTTAGGTTGCAATGACATCAAAATACAATGAGACTGATCATCATTAGAGCCACAGTCAAGATAGGATAGAGCAGCTGGAACACGGGGCGGCGGGGGGGACTTCTAAGAACCTATCCTGAAGATACTCTTACACGAGTGTACAAAGGTGTGTGTACAATAAGGCTCACTGCAGCATTACATGTAAGATTTAAAAGTAATAGTCATAAGTATGGTATATCCATGTAACTAAATACTATGTAGTCAATATAAAAAATAAGATAATGAATAAAACAAGAAATGAAGAACATTAATGTATTCATGGGATTATGATGGTAGCTGCCAGAACAAAAACCAGACTGGTTCAAAGTGGTTACCTAAACTTTTGTTAAACAAGACGATGGCCGGAACAAAGGGCACATAAGAGACAAAGGTGGATAAGCCACGTCAACACACTTGGGAGACGGAAGGCAAATGGGGTGATTTGCAGAACAGAGAAAGCAAGATACTCCGGTATGCGAGAGGTGGATACCTTTGAAAAAAGCCCAAATCCCAGAACTCTGGAAAAGCTCAGAACTGGGAGACACCGGGAACCTGAGAGTCTCCAAATCTCCAGATGAGCCAAAAGTGAGGAGAAACGCCAGACTCAGAAAACTGGGTGGTAAGACCTTCAGCCCCTGTCCCATAGTTGGCTCCAGAAATATGGATAAAACTGGCAAAATCCATCTCCTAGGAGAGGATTTTTCTCTGGAGAAACTAAAACCCCAGAGAAAACATCTGTAAGGTACAGACATTGGGGCATTCTTCACCAAAATGACCGAGTCCCTGTTAGTCACTCTACAATAAAGTCCATTAACTGACAACCTCTGTCTAGGTAAAAAGCATTTAATCAGCTTTGTACAGACTGCAAAAGCTCAACAGACAACTAAAGGATGCTTTCAACAGAAAACAGAGACAGACGAATAAATGGAAGAATTTGGGGGAGAGAGAGACAGGGCAGGGAGCAAAACAAAACTTAGGAGGAAAAAACAGGAAAAAACTTCAATTAATATCCTCAGAGAAAGAAAAGAATATACGGCATCTAAAATCAAGAACAGGGTGCTAATTCAAAAAGGACAATTAGAAAACAAGAAAAAATTCTTGGAAATTCAAGGTATAAGATCTGAAATAAATCCAGAAAAGTCAGAAATTTTAGGGATGTTCCTTGAAAGAAGAACCCTCCCCCGCCCCACACACACCCAGAAAAAATACGAGAAAAACATAAGAAAATTAGAGGATCAGTTCAGGAGTCTAATATCTAAAGGGCAGGAGTTCCAGAAACCAAGAAAAGAAAAAATGGAGGGAAAGAAATGAACACAGGAACGCTTCAAGCAAACAGCTCTGAACTGAAGGCACAAGTATTAATTGCGAAATGTCAGAACACTGAAGATAAGGGGGACGATCCTAAAAATTTCAAGTTAGCAAATACTGGTCATATGCAAAGGACTAAGAATCAGAATGGCAACAGACTTCCCAACACCAATTTTGGGAGCCAGAAAACAACAAAGTAATGAATGCCTTCAAAAGTCTGAAAGAAAATAATTTTCAATCTAAACAAGTCAAACCATCAACCTGTATGAGGGTAGAATACAGATTTTCAAACATGTTAGAACTTATAAAATCTACCCGCTGTGTATGCTTTCTTAGGAAGTTCCAAGAGTTAAGAGTCCACCAGAACAAGAGAATGAATCAAGAAAGAGGAAGGCATGAGATCCAGGAAGCAGGTGAAGGAGAGTCCCAAGAGGCCTTGACAGTAACTAATCCAGCCTCCAGTAAGATAAATGTCTCCAGAGAAAAGAACTCAAATGAGTTTCATAAATCTTAGAGTTTAGGAAGAATTATTAAGCAATAACCAAACAAATGAAAGCAATGATCTAACTAGTTAGGTTCAGATTTGTATTTGCATACTGTACTTGTCTACAATCGCTTTAATATTAATTTAACCAATAATTGTGATGTACCTATATCTTGAGCAAGGGAAATTGAATTCTCACCTTCCATAACATGATGTCAGTAGAAGATATAAACTGCTAAATCAGCAAATAGCAATATAAACCTGTATTTCGAAATGGAGATAAGTAGGCAAGGAAAAATACTAAAAAGTGTAGGAAGTACAACTCTAGAGTGGAGCAGCAGCCTGCTTTGTGTCAAAAAGCTGTGTAGTACTCTTGACTTTTAAAAACCATCTTCACGCATTACTTTACTACTATTAATCAAAAAACAAAACAAAACAAAACAAAAAAAACAACTGGTTACCTCTGAAGAGGGAGTCTATGTGAAGGATTGCGGTGAGGAAAACTTTTTTCATTTTGTGTACTTTTGTACCACATGAACTACTTTAAAAAAATCAAATGCATATATGGGTTTTAGAATTTAAGGAAGAAAACAAAACATTACTCCTACCTAGCCAAAGCTAATAAAAACTGGGACAAAAGGGAAGGAACAGACTTAAGAAATCTCCAAAATAAGATCTCTAAGACTTGGTGACTTAGCAATGTGTTCAATCACATGTAAGAGAAAGCTCCTGTTGTATTTACAAACATAAGAAAAGTTATATAACTAACCTATGAAAATTTACCTTCACAATAATTGATTTACTGAGTCATTCAGTGGCAGGTTAAATTTGGAAAGTTAATAACAGTAATAACAATGTTATTATTATTAGAGACAGAGTCTCCTATTATTGCCCAGGCTGGAGTGCAGTGGTGTGATCACACCTCACTGTGACCTTAAACTCCTGGGCTCAAGCGATCTTCCCACCTCAGCCTCCTGAATAGCTGGGACACAGGTGCACACCACCAGGCTCTAGAAATTTTCGTAGTTTATTTCGTAGAGACAGGGCCTTGCTATGTTGCCCAGGCTGGTCTCGAACTTTCAGCCTCAAGCAATCCTCCCACCTTGGCATTCCAAAGTGTTCGGATTACAAGCGTGGGCTGCTGCACCCAGCCATTAATTATTCTGCCCAGCTTTCAAACCAAGATGGTAGCTACTCATTCTTTTCTGTTAAATGCAAATGGTTAAGAATATCAATCTCCATTACAGATCTCTGACCAAACTTTCTCAATAGACTACAACATTGTTTTAAAAGATTTAAAGTTGCTCATTACAGATTTGGCATTATAATATTTATTTCAGAACAAAATTTAAATCCCAGTAGATCCCATTCACTTCTGAAATGACTATGTTTGACAAACCTCGAACACTGAGGCTTTCTTGAGCATGACTTTTTACCCTGCCTAGACGGAAAAAGCATTCTTTGAAGCAGCTCCTGAAAATTTGGCCTTAGCTGCTTCCTCACCTGATGTGCGAGTACAATTGCCTAAGAGTATAATTCAAAAACGATTTGCCGAAACTCATAGATAATTCATGTCTCTATTCTGTCCTGCTCCTCTTCAAATGAGCCAGATCTTAGAGGCGTTTCAGTTTCCCCAGATACAAAGAAAATAAAGTGAGGTTGGTAGCTGGAGGAGGCGGTGCCGTCCGCAAAGCCAAAGCAATGCAATCACTTGTACCTTAACTCTTCTCCGTTTTCTCCCCTTTTCTTCCCCTGGAACCTGCTTCTCTCCTTTCTTTCTCTTTTTCCGCTTTCTGTCCTTGTGTTTGTCATGATCGTTTTTGTCTTCGAAGAGGCTGGAGTCGTGCCCCGAACTGCCCGTGGAGAGTTCGGTGACTTCGTTCCCTCCTACTTTGAGAACCAGCTTCAAGGGCTTCTCCACATACTCTTAAAAAAAGAAAAGAAACGAAAGCGCGTCGATTAAAGTCGGGGCTCTCCAGGGAGTGCTAAGGATGCAGAGCGCGAAGGCGCAGCAACGCCGAAGTGGCTTTGGGCGCCCCGCGAAGCACCTGTTGAATGACAGAGCCCGGCCCGGGGGTGCGGCGCTGCCCGCCCCGAACGCTCCCACGCCTCTCAGGCCGCCTCACGTCTCCCCACCAGAGACCCACCGGACCAGGGGGACCCGGGTTCGAATGCCGCCGCCGCAAGGGGGGCAGCGAGGCCTCGGGCAGGACGCGCCCCCTTCGCGGGCCTGGGCCTGCCGTGGGAGGGAAGGGCGAGATGTGTATAAGAGACAGACTAAATACTATGTAGTCAATATAAAAAATAAGA